CGCTACTTATCCCCGAAGACATCCCTCCTGTTGAAGAATACGATCCTGAAGCAGAGGATCGTGATGAATCGTTTGTCGAGAAGCTTGCCCAAGATTTCACTGAAGCTGAAGAGCCAATCCTTCACGATGTGTACCCGGATAGCGACGACGAGGCTGGAGCACAACGTGGTGGTGAAGACAGAGGGACTCCCATAAGCCATGGAGATGGGACGATGTATGTAGGGCAAAAGTTCTTCAATGGGATAGCTTTCAAGGAATGTGTCACTGATTATGCATTGCTAACAGGCTACAATTTGAAGCAATACAGGTATGATACGGATAGACTCGGGTTTAGGTGTGTAGGTGCTAAGGGGAAATGCGAGTGGAGAGTGTATTGTGCATCTTTGCAGAACGAGTCAATGTGGAAGGTTACACGTTACAACAATAAGCATATTTGTGTATGGTCTTATTGTGTATTCAAACCTGTTTAGGATGGTCTTATGTTTCTGCAAAACTTAACTAATGTTCTCTTTTTTGAAACCTTGATGTCTGGTTTTAGAAAACTTAATTAACTAATGTCATTTCTCTTTTACAATCGATTTAGTCTTTAAACACAATCCATTACCAACAAACAAAAACAATCATAATCTCATAATCCATTACCAACTAACAAAGACAATCATAATCCATTACAAATAAACAACAATTACCAAGCATTACCAACCATTATCCATTACATAAACCACCATTACCAAGCATTACCAAGACAAAACAAACAAGCATTACCAACATAAAAAACACGATCATCCTTAATAACTCATCCAATTAGCTTAACGATAGCAATCATGATCATACAACCAAACACTATCCCAATTAGCATCTTATTCATCCTTGCTTGCATTAGTGACTTCACATCTTCAACCTTCTCACATATTGAAATTTAGGGTTCTTGAGTTTCAAATTTGGGGATTTTAGATCCGTTAAACGACTAAACGATTATAAGGTGGTTGATTGGTTTCGGGTCGGGCTGGATTATTATTCGGGTTTTAAATTGATTGCAAACCGTGTTTCAATGGTTTTCTGTCGGGTTTGGTTCGAAAACCATGTAAACCCACGCAATTGGAGAAATAGAGATGGAACTTTCGATTCGGGGAGATTTAGCAATAGAAGTATGAATTATGGGAGGTTAAGGACGAGAGTGAAGTTTTGTGTTGTTCTGATACGATGCAATACTTCTCGGGGGGAAATAGGTCGTCAATCCGTATAGTGTCTATAGTGTTATTGAACGTGTATGTGTATAGTGTCTTCATTATAGTGTTACTGAACGTGAAATTAAACGTGTATGTGTATAGTGTATATAGTGTTACTGAACGTTTATGTATATAGTGTCTTCATTATAGTGTTATTGAACGTGAAATTAAACGTGTATGTGTAGTGTCTTTAGTGTTATTGAACGTTTATGTATATAGTGTTATCTAACATGTACTTTTATTTTTCAATTTTTTTTCAGGATGTTGTTTACACATACATTTCCTCCACAGGAAATTATGAAGTATTTGACCACATAGAATTTCTTAGAGTTGATGAAACAAAAGATGGGAAAGTGGATAACTTGAATGCCTTGGTTAGAAGTGGATATAATTTTGGAGATCATATTTGGGAAAGTGTTGAAGGAGATGATGTACTTGATAAAAATGTTGACGATGTTGTAGTGTCTGAAGATGAGAATGTGAACACTCATCTTAGTGATGAAGACAACGAATTGTCTGGTTTGCAGTGTATTGAGAAGCAAACCGATAAGGTTGAAGTGTCTGGTTTGAAGAAGAGGAAGAAGAAGGACAGTGATGTTGGAACAGAGGCACGGAAGAGGAGTTTGCTATGTCAGCGTGCATCAACAGCCAAGTGTACTTTTGATGAAGAAATGAAGTCGTTTGTTAAATGAGTGATTGAATCCTCTTTTACGGTTTTTACAGAGAGCTTTGAAAATAGATTTAAAAAGATGGAGGAAGATGTTTCAGAAATCAAGGAGTCGATATGTGGAGCTAGAAGAGCTCCGACTATGACACCGTCCAATCCTCCAGAAGTGGAGCATAAATCTACGGTAGGTAAAAAATAGCTCTATGTATTGTATGATCTAATTCCAGTGTAATTGCTTTGTCTCTTCTCTCCCTTATGTTGTATTTGTAGCCCATGAGTATATACATTTGTATTGTAAAACTTAAACCTATATTATGTAAACGGTGATGTTTTTGTTTCTTTTGACAGGTTGAAACATTAATATTTGACGATATGGGCACCTCCCCATTTGAAATAGATCTCAACTTAGATTCACAAGAATTCCTACAGAAAACAATAGGTCATTTATCTATAAAAATAACGGTGCATGGATTTGATCCATCACAATGTTTATTAAGTGGAGATGTCGACAAGCAACCAAAAAAAATGTAGCTTTATCAGTTGAAAAGAAAAAAATAACTCAACGAAACGCGGGTATCGATAGCGTCGATGCTCTATTGACGTTTGTTTCTGATGACTTATGGGATGCTTATGAAGCTTGGAGTTTTCGGTGTTTGCGTTTCGAGTAAGTATATTTTATAATAACCAATCATTTTAAATAATTTTTTAATTTTATGATAACCAATGATTTTGCTTACAGAGTTCTAAAGTTGGGCCCAACTTTACTTAATAATAAGTTGTTTGATAGAATAATGATGAACAACTACTGGCTTCAAAACGATGTAAGTCTCTTTGAATTATTAACATTCTTTTATGTCATAAAAATTATATTTCTTAACAATTTAATATTTATAGGAAATTGATGCTATGATGTATATCTTTCGGGAACATACATCATTAGGCCGTTTACCGTCAAGTCGTCTTGGTTTTATGAATTGTATGTTTAGCATGCTAATCAAGACCGAACACGCGAAATACTTGAAAGATAGACGAAGCCACTAGTGGAGTATTGATCTTTTAGATTACGCAAACGGTGAATTACCATCGCATGGAAAGACGCGAAAAAATGGGCCACAAATTTTGATAGAATTTATGCTCCAGTCTTTGTTAATGGTAATCATTGGATTTCAGTTTGCATTAACTTCATTCTTAAAACAGTTGAAGATTTTGACTGTGATCGACACTACAATACAATAGAAGTTTTTTTTATTGGATTTGTAATGACAATTGTGACAATTGTTCTTGGTTGAAGCTTAATTTTAGTAGCTGATTTAGCAATAATATTGGAGTTTATGGTTTATTTTCTTCATTCTTATTGGAGAAACGGAAGAGACTCGAGTTTTGGGATAGTTAATCTTGATGATAATTAATTTCCCCACTCTAACCACACCACAATCTAAGATTGGTGAAGCACTACAAACTATAGAACTTTAAAACGTAGAAAATGCAGACACTCAAAAAAATAGTCCTTTAAAACATGTAACAAACTAAGACGTCCATTAATATAAATAAGAAAGAAGAATAATGTGGTAGTCTTTCAATAACGAGCATGCAATAATAGTAGAGATCATCAGAACCAAACCCTCTGGACTTCTGCAGCGTGTAGCACCATTAACCTGCAAGTTAAAAAATTACAATGAATAAGAGTGGAATAAAATACAAAATTCAGTAAAATTAATGTTAAGGGGTTTGCACAAACCATTGTTATATTGCTATATCACAAGTGGTTCTGTTATGTCTTTCTTGGCCACAACGGCTACACTTATGTCTCTTTGACCCTTGTGATCTTTGTGATGATTTTATTTTGTCTTCAGCTGTTTCATGTCTTCGCTAACTTCGTCTACCTGGATGTCTTCTTGTTTCTGGTGGTTGAACGATTGCATCTTAAACATGTTTTGGGACACGCCAATCTCGTTTGGGAACACCTATTGGGTTAATAGTTTCCTCGTAATGTGATCTCCATGCTGTCGTGGTATAAACATAATCAGTATAAGGATATAGATCCTTGCCTATATCAAAAAGCTGCTTTGATAGCGTGCCTGCAAGGAATATTCCCTATCTCGAACTTCCCACATGAACATGTTCTTTTTTCTAAATCAACAACATACTCTTCACCATTACCTTTGACCTGCAACACATATCTCACTACAAGAAAACCTGCGTTTTGGGACTCTGGAAAACGATACTAAACAGTCGCAAAATGATGTTTTGCGACTGATGCCCGACTCAATAAAACGGTCCCAAAAAACGGTCGCTAAATTTTCCAGTCGCTTAATGGTCGCACATTTGCGACAACATTCCGACTAAATATTATCGTCGTAAATAAACAACGATTTTGTGACTGCTAGAAGTAGTAGCACATTTACGACTAAAATGCAACGTATAATATAAATGACGTTTTTGTGACTGAAAAGATCATCCCGTATTAAAAACGACTTTGAGACTAAACTATAGTCCAATGTTGAGACGTTTTAAAGACTAAAATGGTACTGTCCATTGTATTTTGTGCTTGGGAGTTAAAAATATTTCGTCCCAAATGTGTCCGAGATAATGAGTTTCAGTGACAAGCGAGTCGCAAATAAGTCTTTAAATATTGTGACTACTCTAAGACTCTTGGTTTAGTCTCAACTATATTTCATATTAGTAACCATTATGCGACTAGTTTTGGAGATATTTTCTAGTTTGGTTTAGTAGCAAAATAGTCACAGTTATACGAAACTCTTTTAGTCGCAATTTAGTCTCAAATTTATAATTGTTTCGGTCACAAATTGGTCAGTATTAGGGATTTCTAAACCTGTTAAATATCAAATTTGAAATGCAAGTAATTCCAGAAAACGACTATTAAAAACACTAATCGTACCAAAATATCATCTTAATCATAACAAAAGATCATCCTAATTAAGTTTCCAAATCCATACATTCACCAAATGAGCAAATCAAGTTCATAAGTTGGAAGAAGTGTTAGAAAGAGGGGAATTGGCAGCTGAAGTGGAGGCTGGTGTGGTTCATGATCCTGTGGCTGCAAGTGTGGTTCCAGATCATGTGGCTGCAAGTGTGGTTCCAGATCATGTGGCTGCAGCAGTTGTACCTGGAGGAATGATGGCTGCAGGCGGAGTAGTTGAGTGTCTGGTAGGTGGAAGTGTGGTTGGGTCTGGGTCAGTAGTTGGACATTCCAGGAAAGCTGCCAAGCTAGGATCATTTTGTTTCATGAAGACGAGGAGTTTCTTCAAGCTGCTGATCTCACTTTGATATTGGCGGTGCTCTTCATCACGGCGTGCATTATCAGCGTCGTGTTTAAAAATCTTGCGCCGAAGTTCTTGAAGATCCACAATAGTTGATGTAGAAGAGCTCGCATAATTCTCTTTCCTCTTTCTTTTGTTTAGTGTCTGCACAAGGGATCCAAGGCCAAAATGATTGCCTTTGTCATTTGTTTGAGTATACTAAAACAAAAGATAAACATTCAGTTTCTTAAGGTCACAACCAAAATGAAACAAGAAAAGTAAATATGTATTCACAAATAATCCAGCAAACACAGAATGTTAAGGAAATAAAAAAACAGCAAGTATAATCAAGTGAGATGACCATCGTTTTGAGGATGGATTTTCCCTAATCGGCTGCCTTAGTTATTCTAGATGTGTATATCTACCTCAGCATAATTAAGAGAGATTGAGATGAGTTAATGAATTACCTGAAGAAATATTTCATTCTTTTCATCAACGGTGAGAATTCGATGACTTGATTGCTGAGAGGAATTGTCTGAAATTTGTGGACCATCCTCTTCAAGTTGTGACAGTCTCTCTTCTAGGGTCTTCTCATAAGTCTCTGCAACTTGTTTTGCTTTCTGATCCACAAAAGATCCATACGACCGAGTATGTGTTCTCATAAATACTTCACCAAGTAAAACTGGACGCCCAAGCTCTTCCTCCTACAATGAGATTCAACCATATTACATTCATAGACTGTCAAGGAAGAATATCAGATTATATGCAAAGAGAAGTATTACCATTTCTTACTGAACTTGTAGAAATGATTTCTAAACAGCTAAGTGTTTGTGAACTCCAAGACCGCCACGATCCGAGTTTCTGGACTATGAAGCATTCTCACTCTTCTCAATAGCATCAGGAGTGTTCCAATGAACCCACATGTCTTTCCAGAGGTCACCTAGAATCCATTGTGGTTATACACCACTCTGCTTTGCTTGATTTACAATACCTTTCATTCGTTTCTTGGCAATCTTCTCAAATCCTTCCCTAACAAGCTCATTAATCCCAGAATCCCAATTAAACTTCCTCTTCATACAGACAAAACATTTCAGACAAGTTAGCAATGTGACTGTCATATGCTTAACACTATCCACAATGAAAGCAAACAATCATTTACTTACGGCAAAAGTCCTGTAATATCTCTCTTGAATGTGTTGTGGAGTAACCTTCCAACTGTAGTAAAGCCCATCAAACTTCCTCCTAAAGATTCCAGCAATTGCTCGAGACAGCTTCCCACCGTGTCGGTCAAACCTATTACAATTACTAAGGATTAGTGTATGTAAAGTAGCCACTAATTAACTTTACCAACAACACAGTGCAACAATCGGTTACTTAACTAAGAAACAATGAGCAATAATGAAACGATCTAACCAATAGAGATTAAACTAACAGACAATTACATGAAGAAGGAAAGAGTTAGTCCCAGAGAGTCTCAATGCCTTTGATAGGCTTCTGAGACAGAAGTGGAAGATTTTGTTGGCCTGGAAATGCAAGCAAACGATCTAACATTGCTTCGTAGTCTTCATTTGGATTAGGATTTTGTTGGTGTGGGTTTTCTAATTCATCATTTTCTTCTTCTCCTTCTCCTTCTCCTTCTTCTCCTTCTTCGTCTTCTTCTTCTTCTTCTTCTTCTTCTTCTTCTTCTTCTTCTTCTTCTTCTTCTTCTTCTTCGTTGTTATGTTCTGGGGGTATGTGAGAAGGAGGTTGTTGAACAGGCTAAGGCTGTTGAACAGGCTAACGCTGTTGAACAGGCTAAGGCTGTTGAATAGGCTGAGGCAGTTGAACAGGCGGAGGCTGTTGAATAGGCTGAGGAAGTTGAACAGGCGGAGGCTGCTGTTGAACCACCTGCTGAGGCGGTGGTTGAACCTGAGGCGTATTTGGAGGAGCAACTCGTGGTGGTTGTCTCCTCGGTGAATACAGTGAAGGAAGACGTCGAGAAGTTTGACTGTTAGAATTAGCCGCTGATGAGTGAGAAGAGGCTCCGACACAACTTTGAGTTCCGGTTGGCGGTGCTTGACCATGGAAAGTTTTGACACTACCGTTGGATCTTCCACCGGCGTTCGATATTCCATCGACGCTCGATCTTCCACCGCGACCTCTAGACGATTTGCTCTTATGAGGCATTAAGGATCGACTGAGAAAAGAGAAATCGAAAAGAGAAATCGATTGAGATTTAGGGTTAGAGAGAACAAAAGATTTAGGGCTAGTGGACTGAATCGGTTGCTAATGGACTTAATCGATCCACATACGATCAAATTTGAGAAATCTGAGAGGAGAGAGTTGAGAGGAAAAGATGTTAGGGTTAGATCGAGAAATGAAAATTGAAAAAACTTTCGCGTTTTTTTGATTTGTTATTAACGATATGAGTCGGAAAACGGTCGCAAAGCAGTCACACAATTTTAGTGTTTTAACAATTGGGGGGAATATTAAGCGGCTAAACACTTAGCAAATATTTCGTTTAATTAACTCAAAATTTAGATCTAGACTCAAATAAGTCACAACAAATGTAGCAAATTAGTCGCACACATGTAACAAAGTAGTCGCAAATAGTTTACCTACGGATTTGTGACTACTTAGCCACTCTCGACTTTAGCTAATTCAAAATTTGAGTATTGAGATTTGTTTAAATGGTTAGTAATACGTTTATACTTTGATTTTGTTGAAATTACCGCAGTGTACTAAGTCAGAGTTGCAAACTAAATATTTTTCTAACCACACTTTAAATCATCCCAAATTTAATAAGTGTATTACATGTTTGTTTAGGGTAATGATGAGGAGTTTAGGAAAATCTTTTTAAACAGTTATATAAGCATGATTTTGGCAAGTTATACTAATATATATTCGATAGGCTACCTATTTGAGTGTTTATGAGTGATACATAACAAAAGTATTGATCTAAATCGTGTATAATTCAAGTTTAGTTTTGTGACTAAGACGAGCCCGTCAGAAAACGGTCATAAATTGTGACGCATTTGTAATGTATTTGCGACGCATGTCGTATGCCTTGTTTGCGACGTTTTGCAGACATATTTCCGACAATATTTTATCAAAATTTAGAAAAACTTGTTTAACAAGTTATATTAGCATTATTTTGGCAAGTTCTACTTATATATGTATTGCATACAATATATTTGAGTGTTTATGAGTGATACATAACAATTGTATGTATATAAATCGTGTATAATGCAAGTTTTATTTTGTGACTAAGCACGGACTTTTCAAAACGGTCACAATTTGTGACCTATTTGTAATTTCTTTGCGACGTCTGTCTGTCGTCTGCCTTATTTGGGACATTTTGCGGACATATTACCGACGATATTTTATCAAAATTTAGATTAATTCTTTCAACAAGTTATATTAGCATGATTTTGGCAAGTTATAATTATATAAGTATTGTATGCAATATATTTGAGTGTTTATGAGTGATACATAACAACTATATTGATATAAATCGTGTATAATGCAAGTTTTATTTTGTGACTAAGCACGGCCGTCCCAACACGGTCACAATATAATTGCGACGGCTGTCGTCTGCCTTGTTTTCTTTCCGTTATTGTTAGGACACTATTGTAACTGTTTTGTGACTGATTATAATGGAAAAAAGTACATGCATTATATGTACATATCCAACCAAATTGCCAACTTAATCATTCTTTAGTTACTTACACATACATTAAAATAAGCTTAAACTAGCATTAATATCTCTTATAAATCAAAAATTTATTAAATGAAATATTTTAAATTGTTTTATAATAATATCTTACAAATGATATGTTAGCAACTCAAATCCATAAATTACTCATCTTCATCTTCATCATATTCAAATTCTTCATCTCCATCATCAGATGTTGATAAGTTACATTGAAATTCGTCCTCGCCTTAAGCATCTTCAATTTCAAAATCAATAGGCTCATCTTGATGATTTCCGTCTACTAAGCTCTCAATGATAATTTCTTCAATAATGGTTGGAGGTGCATCATCAACAGACTGTTGCAAAATCACAATTTCCTTTTTTTTATAGTTCCCTTGAACAACATTTCTTGGACTGACTTTGCAAACTGTACTCCATGATTTACGAGGTCTTTTAGTGAATGGGTATGAAAGGTAACACACTTGATCAGCTTGAGACCCTACATTAATAAAATTTAGAATTAGGTATTTGTCAACAATATTTATATATAGTAAAACACACGGAACATCAAAATTACCTAAAATAAATGGTTCATAACCTCGATACTTCATTGATTGTAGGACGTCTACAATGCCACAATCTCTCATACGAGTTCCTTTATCAACCGTTGGATCAAACCATTCACAGTAGAACAGTGTGATCTTTAGGTTAATAAATCATGGATACTCGAGCTAGATTATATTTTCCACGGTCCCTAAAAATTATCCTCATCAGACGCTTCAGAATAATTTTCTCCTCGGCCAAGTACTCCATAATTCATTGTCTTTTTCGAGCTCCCGTGAGATCGTGTGTGAAACATATATTCTCTTGTAAAATACATGGGCCATGACTTCACTTTGTTTTCAGGACCTTCCACTATTTCATAAACCCATGGAGGAAAACTCTGTTGACCTTTCATTGCTTCCACCTATATATATGATCATAATTGTATATATCAAAATTTTTAAAGACTTTTAATTCATTAGTAGGATTGAAGCTACTATATATAATATTTTTAATATACTTACATATTGACGAACCCATATATGAAAATCATCATCTCTTTTTGCCGTGACCTCTTCATCCGAGAGTTCTGGACATTCATACCGAATTTGAGCGTCTAACACATTGTATTCAAAGTGAAAAAAATGAATCGATAAGTTAACTAAATTTAAAGAGAAAGCATATTAAAGTTATATTATTAAATACTTTTCAAGCGGGCGAAAGTAGTCACAATTACGCAACACATATGCATGTGCACATTCATAATCTTTTTCAGTTAACCAAAATTCTTTGCTTTTCCCGCTTGGACGCCCGACTTGAGTGAATATTTCCGGTACCGGTATAGGATATACAGGAACTTCACCTGGATCATACCGAAGTAACCTATAAGCAAATTTATATCATTAATTATGATATCGAGAACCTGGAAACAAAAGAAATATAGTAGTCGTATGAAATATATACCTTCTTCTACTAGCTGTAGAAATGTGCAAAGCAGAGTAATGTTCAGAGAAGTAAGAAATCTCATCATTGATGTGTGATTGAACGATTGATCCAGCTGGATATCTTTTGTTCTTTGCCTTCCCTTTCAAACGTTTAAAAAATCTCTCAAAAGGATACATCCACCTATATTGAACTGGACCTCCAAGCTCTGCTTCATATGGTAGATGTACTGGTAAGTGCTCCATGACATCAAAGAAAGAAGGCGGGAATATTTTCTCCAAATTGCACAAAATCATGACAATATTCTCTTTCATAAGTTGGACGCGACTTTGCTTCAATGTACGACTACTTAAGTCCCGGAAAAATGCACCAATCCCTACAATATTAAAATAAAAACATTAATGATGATAGGTTTAACATATGTATATAAAAATTAATTTAATTAACAAATGCACGTTTTGCGGGAGGAGTTCTGCAAATACAAACGAGAGCAATCTTTCCTTAAAGATATGACAGTCATGACTTTTCATCCCTGAAAACTTGCCAGCTTTGACGTCTGCACAACTAGCTAAATCAGCTACATAACCATCTGGAAATTTCACATCTTGCTTGACCCATTCTAGTAGGCTTTGTTTTGCTTTTTCACTCAATCTCCAAATAGGAAATGGAGCTCTCCCTCGATCATCAACATGCAATTCTTTACGAGAACAAAATCTTGCAACATCTACTTGACTTCACATTGTCTTTTTATCTGTCTTTCACATTCATTGTCGTGAAAATAATGTTATCAAGAATATTCTTTTCGATATGCATTATGTCAAGATTGTGTCGTAGCCCTAGATCCGTCCAGAACGATAACTCCCAGAGTATGCTTTCTTTGTGCCAATGATGCCAATCTCCATAGCCATCCACTTTCTCTTCATGCCCATTTCCTCCGCATATAGATGTCTTCGCTGGAGCGGCAGTCCTTATACGCTCATATAAGATATGTTCACCAGTCAAAGATTGCGGTGGGTAATCGTTCAATGCGTGTTTACCCTTCAGAAAATGTGTTTTATCCTTCCGTAATAGATGATTTGTCGGAAGATGTCTTATGTGGCAATCAAACCAACTTGTCTTCCTCCTAGTTCGCAACTGATATGAATTTGTATCCTCCATACAAAACTTGTCTTCCTCCCAGTTGGCAACTGATATGAATTTGTATCCTCCATACAAATTGGACAAGATAATCTTCCATTTGTAGTCCATCCGGCCAACATGCCATATGCAGAAAAATCGCTAATAGTCCACAGAAGGGCCGCTTTAAGGTTGAAGTTTTGATCTAATGACACATCGCATGCCTCAACTCCGTTATCCCATAAGCCTTTTAACTCCTCGATCAGTGGTTGGAGGAAAACATCAAGACTAGCTCGTGGATGATTTGGTGCTCAATTCAGAATAGTCAGAAATAAATACTCACTCCTCATGCACATATCTGAAGGCAAGTTGTATGGAATCAAGATCAGTGGCCACAACGATTGATTTTTGGACATCCAAAAGGATTAAAACCGTCCGTACATAGTCCAAGATAAACGTTTTGCGGTTCGCTTGCAAATGAGGGATGCAATTGTTGAAAATTCTTCCACTCAGCCGCATCTGATGGATGACACATTACTCCTTCTTCCGAATCATGCTCAGCATGCCATCTCATTGAAGCTGCAGTCTTCTCGGATTGGTACATTCTCTTCAGTCTATCTCCAATGGGTAAGTACCACATCTTACTATATGGTATTCTTGTTCTTCCTTCAGTACTAACATTATACCTTGGTTTCCCGCAAAACTTGCAATGCTCCAACTTATCATCTTCTTTCCACAAGAGCATAAAATTATCTATACATACATCAATAGTAAGATATGGCAATCCTAGCTTTCGCATAAATGTCTCGGTCTCGTAATATGAACCAGTTGCCTGATTAC